AAGACTATGACGTTACTTGAACCTAACAACTCTCCTGTTAGTCAGTTTCCTATAATTATTCAAAAGGGAGTGGAAAAAACTCGAAAACTTAATAATAATAATAATAATAATAATAATATTATTATTATTATTATTATTATTATTATTATTATTATTATAAATTTGAAAAAGACTATGACGTTACTTGAACCTAACAACTCTCCTGTTAGTCAGTTTCCTATAATTATTCAAAAGGGAGTGGAAAAAACTCGAAAACTAAAATTATTTTTATTTTAATTACATAATCAATATCATTGACGGGGTCCATCAATTGAAAAGTTTTGATTAGTGAATTATAGAGATTCTCTACAATCAAGGATGTAGATGATCTCTACCCTCTTGGGAAAAAAAAGAAAGCACCTAGTAAGAACAGTCCATAGCATTCAATATGCATCAAATGGATCTTAATCATTAGATTTGTGTACAAATCCTAAAACCCAATGATCCAACCGTTGACACCTGTTTGGTACACATTTAATGCTATAGCTTCGAAACCATTTGATATTTTTCTCTTTGGAAAAGCAATGCGAGTCTTTATTAAAATGGACAAAGCAACCATAGAACTCATCATAACTCAAAAAAGTCACAGGATAAGGGGGCATATGATTGTTGATCCTAGAACATGAGTATATTCTTGATGACCTACATACATGTGAGGGGGCTTTCAAGGAAGCCTACAAATTGCATATGCAATGTTGGAAATGTACAAAGAGCTGTACCTCTCTTTTTCTCACTCGCTTCCCACTTTCTTATAATTCGGTGCTGAAAACAACGTCCTCCACCTCCTTATAACTCGCCCATTGTCGATTTCACGTGGGATAACACCGACACCTTCCCATCGATGAATATGATGCTAACAACTAATGATGATCATGATAAATGAATCAGAAAATAAACAAATCACATCCTTACTCATTCTCCACCGTCTCAAAATCATTTTAGATCGAATCAACCGTAATCATGCGTTAGTCAATCTTTTATGGAGTGGGAATCAAATCCCACCGCGGCTTTGATCCAAATCTAAATCTAAACTCACTAGCAAAAACCCAGAGTATCTTATGCACGAACTTTGTGATTCAACTGCGTAGGATACTGTAGTTCATGAGGTCTCTTCCAAAGCAATAAAAGTCCGGCACTTCAATTAGCGTTGAAGATTATAGTTTTATATGCATAATAGATCTCGTTAAATTGAGAAGTCTCTTCATTTCCAATCTCAATCACAAAGTCCTTTTTAATTCTTTTTAACCGGATTGCTAATGAATCTGATACCACTTTAAAGTTTCTCGTGCTATATCAAAACTTCTACGGTTATGATAGAGGTCATGAAGACCTGATACGCTTAGTGTAGTCATAAAATCAACCACAAACTTCTGCGGGATAACACCTATTGATAAATTGACACCATCTTTGAAGCAGTGGCACTAATTATAATTCCTTGATTATTATTTACTTATGCTGCAATCAGATTACCATAATTTGACGCTAATGGTCTTTGCTGGAGACCAGGAGATACAAATTTAGAGGTGGGGTATTGATTGACAAATGAAGAAAGAACATGGGCCTGGGGCCCGCCATGCGATATGTGGGTGGGGTTATAATTAGTGCACTCTATTCCCTCACATGAATGCCGCAGGCCTAGCACATGCAATTCGGTCCCTTAATCTGCGCTTATTAAGCCCACTTCACTTTGGGTCCACTTCTAACTACCCAAAAACAATGAGCTTGTCGACTTCAATCTCCAAACTGCCACTGCTGACATCAAGCTAAATACGCCCACAAAAAAAAAAAGAGTTAATTGCAAGTAGACCCCCTTACTATCATCGCTGAATTGCAGATAGACTCCATGTAGTTCTAGTTTATCGGATAGACCCCTTGTGTCACTATATAATTTAAAATTGTTACTATTGCCCCTCGAGAGTTTTTCTATTTTTTTAAAAAAGTACATAATTATATTATTAGTAACACAATCAAATTCATCTTCCTCCATATGTGTCATTAGTAACGAGTTCCAACGGTATGAACTTGAATTGAAATATGAGTTTCTTATTGGAAAATTTTTAGAAAAGCCCCTTGAATTTGGGCATTTCTCGGATAACTCCCTTTAACTTTCAAACTACGCAAAACACTTCTTTAAGTTTTGGAGTTCTCAGAAAGCCCCCTTCGACTTTCAACATCTTTAACAAAAAAAAAAGATGATCGTAACGGTGTTAAGTGCAATTTGGAAGGATATAAAATTATGCAAGGAGATAGTTTGCTAGTGAAATTATGGTTCACATTTTTATTTAAAAAACATCAAAAATTGAAGAGGTATCACGAAAATATTCACCAAAAGTTAAGAGGGTTTTTGTGATATTTTAAAAGTCAAGGGAATTTATTTGAGAAACCCCCAAACTTAAGAGGGATTTTTGGTCTTTCTTAACCAAAGTGGGGCCACGTGACACCACTATGATTGGGGATTTATCCTCACCAATATAATTACATGAGGTCTATTCATAATTGGGTGATAGTACAGGGGCTCTATATGCAATTAATCCAAGAAAAAGATGCAGGAACGCCTTCAATTTCAACACCCGTATTCGGAGAGAGAGTAGATAGCATACCTGCACTGCTCCAGCACGTGAAAAAAATGCAATAATTTCTCTACTCTCTCCATTGAGCTAGGGCTGTCGCATTCCGCACATGGCCCGGCCCTATGTAGCTGCCCGACGTCGTAGTTATAAGGGGTGATCAGTGAGAGGCTAGAGTGTTAGTGGTGACTGCTACTATATGATAGAGGGAGATCGAGAGAGAGGAGAGGAGATATGGGGTGAGTAGCTGTCGGCCGAAGGACTCCGTTCGGGGGTACGTCGATGTGGAGCACATCTTGGTGGGAAGTACCATCGACGACCTTCCTATGGAGTCGTCTGAGGTGAGAAGAACCTCTGGTTGATAGGATACTTCTCAGTTCACCACCATCTGTAGAACCTCTTAAGGCTTCTGATTTACTGAGGGCGTTGCGGGACCTGAGAGTATCGAGCGTGATTCGAGTCGGGTGATAGGTTAGATAGTATGGTACTTCGTGATGTATATCAGGTAGTAGTGATATACGGCTAGGGTATTACTAGTAGACTAGACTTAATAGGCCTATGTATATATAGTTATTTCTATATAATGTAGGGACATGGATGGTCATACTGTGGCAGGGATCCCTTGTAGTGATGTGGACACATCGTTGGTCTGATACATCACAACCCTTGAAGTTGTCGAGGCTCCATCTTCAAGGGCGTTGATGTGGTAATGCGACAAGATGTGTCAACACGGCATACCAAGGATCCTTGGTACCAAGTAATACCCAGCTGTATCTCATAATAGGGTTAGGGATATATATATATATAGTACTGCTGGTGAGAGCGTAGTGGATATTATCTATATATAATTTATATCTCTTAATTTGGCGTGTAGTGTACTCGAGGATTACTATCGTATGAATCTATGAGTCCTATAATGTGTGTATATATATGTGTCATATAAGTATGTAATAAATACATATATAATATATATTTATGTGATTCTCTCTCTCTCTCAAGTTATAACTTATAAGTATATTATGTATATACTATATATTTCCATATAATATATGTATATATAATATATAGCTGTATATATATACACACACGCACACACACTTAGCTTGGTATAGATACTAAGATATAACAATATAAATATAATATAAATATATATAATGTAGTTATAAGTATACTTATATTCATATATTATAGAATTACAGTTATATAAGTATATATAAGTACATAAGTATAATTATATATAAATATATTGCATCTAGTATATATAAAACTAAAGTATATTATATAAGTAAAGTGTATAACTGTTCTCTCTCTCTCTCTCTCTCTCTCAAGTTATAACTTATAAGTATATACAATATATTTACATATAATATATGTATATATAATATATAATTATATAATAATTTTTAAATATATACTAATACATACTTATATAAATATAATAAGATAAATCTAATTTTTAGCAATAATTTACCAAAAAAAGAAAAAAATGAAAATGACCGGGATGGCCTAGTCATTTTTATTTGTAGAGATTTTTAGTTAATTGTTAAATTATGATTTTTATATGATTAATTGATTATTAATAAAGAAGTTATTTTTATTATTTTAATTTCTATAATTTTTTATATTTGTAAATTATATAATTACAAGTGATTAATAATATGATTGTTTTTTATCAAAATTTAGTTAATTTTTGCTATGTATTCTTGAAAATAAAAAATTAAAAAAAAATAAAAATAAAAATAAAAAACCGGGCTGACCCGGTGTCCGCCCCGCTCAGGCCCTCAGCTCAGGCCTGGGCCTCTGGGCCAACCGGGTCCGGACCCCGATTTTTCGAGCCGGACCGGGCCGTTTGGACTGGCCTAAGCAATTCATCCTAAATTCATGTTAAGTACTCACCTCAAACTCATCACACCCCACAACAAAATGTACAAAGATATGTGATACCTTTAATCTTGATTACTGTAATGAGACTTTGAGATTTAAAAAGAATGTTGGGTGCTCAATATTAAGGGGCTTTCATTTTTCTAACACGTCGCAACTGAATCGGAAACTTTACAGTAAATTTATATGCACAATAGCTATAATGCTATATGCGAAGCCATTGTCTACCCAAACTCCCCCAAAATTTAGAGTTAATACGTATACTAAAGATCTGATTGATATTACTAAAGTTGGACGACAATATACAGTGGCCTTGTCAGTCCTTTCTTAAAAATTCAAATTTAGCAACAAGTTTTAATAAAAGAATATCTTATCCCTAATTAGGGAGGGCAAATGCTGTGGATACATGCAGAGGACAAGGGCTCCTCATGGACGAGACATTTAATAATGCCATTATTCTTTCCTTCATGAGCTCTGTAGCCTGCCCATCATAATTCTATTTAAAGCGCACCGTTTCCCGAGCTCTGCTCTCACTTCAATCCCCTTTCTCCTCCTCCTCCCTCTCTTTGTTTACTCCCTCTTAAGAAAATGGCAATGGTTAAGCTCCTTGTTCTTCTAGCAATTGCTCTCTTTGTCATTATGATGGCCGAGTCCTCATTGGTGAGGAGGGGGATTTTTTTTTTTTCTTTTTAGCAACTCAACCCTACTCCCATTTTCTTAATTATTAACTTTGATCTCCCCTTTCTTTTGTTGTTGTAGGCAACACCCCCAGTAACTGCTGGAGGAGAGTACCATTTGGACAGGGTAATAATTTCTTTTCCCTTTTCAGTACAGTAATTAATTGGCTAGTTACTTCATAATTTATGAAACTAACTATGCTGTGTTTGGTAAATATGTGCAACCTTTTTTTTTTTCCTTTTTCAGGCTGGAAGTGGATACGGACCAGGGAGTCTCAAAAGCTACCGTAAGTTTTTCATCTCATGCGCACTTGAATCCCTCAACAGTAACTTTATGGGTATAAATTTGTGACAAGCTAAAATGATTAGAGCTCAACCTGACCGATGATTTGATAAATGTTTTCGGTGCACAGAATGCCAAGGTCAGTGCAACAGGAGGTGCTCAAGGACGCAATACAAGAAGCCCTGCCTCTTCTTCTGCAACAAGTGCTGCGCAAAGTGCCTCTGTGTTCCTCCTGGTTTCTACGGCAACAAGGGAGTCTGCCCCTGCTACAACAACTGGAAGACCAAGGAAGGAGGACCAAAATGCCCCTAAAATTATTATCATTATCATTATCATTACTATTATATTGTCCCATTTGGCCATTTCCTTCCTTGATCAATTTGTTTAGCTGAAGTGTGTGGCAAACCTGTTATAGTTGCCCCTTATGGCCTAGTATTTTATTATTTTGAGTTTCTAATTCCGGAGACTTTTTATTCCTACGTATTATTGAAGGCAGCACTCAAGAATCTGAGTAAGTGTACTTCGGGGAACTGTTCCCTTCTAATCTAATGGAAGTTTCATAATATTGGTTCGAAAAGAGTCCATTTTTTTTTAAATGGATTTTGAAAACATGACAATGATCACAAAGATTAACTCGAGCCGCGTCTCAGTTCGGTTGACAGAATCAGAAATTGGTCCATAAATTAAGCTTGGATCAGTCTCCATTGTGGTTCATAAATTAATCGAGGCTCGTTCTCCGAGAGTGTAACGGAAGCGTAAGATGAAAACCACATGAACAGTGGATATAATATTTTCAACCATTGACGGCAACCAAAACCTGTGAAAATTCATAAATGATAAAGGAGAAATCACATTGTCAGACCTATGAAAAGGTCCGCTGGATTCATCACATGTATGCAGTGGTGTTTCATATGAACAAGTTGGGTGTTAAGAGTAATACGACAATGACCATGATAAACTAAGGAAGATCATTATAAACAGTTTGGATAGATCACATTCACCAAATAATCTAGTTAATAAAAAAATTATTTTAAGGATCCATACCAGTCATAAAATGAATTTCACAATTCAAGTGATGAGCGCAGCAACAGTAAGATTAAGCCCAACCGTGCTCATAACGCAATCTGCCTTCTTTCCTAAACAATCAAATTTTACAGTTCTCCATGAGCAAGGGCAGAAGTAGTGTGCAATCTATCAGAGGTAAAACTCAACTCAGATCGTTGTGCAAAATATCTCAGGTAGGAAAAGAATTTCCAATCCTACGTTCTTAGTGTCAAAGCACCCTATAATTGCACAAACCTGTGAAGTTTCGATGAGGATTAAATGTTATGATTTTATTTTGTAGCACCGAGATGGAGAGATCACGGCCCATTAATTAGGATTACCAGCAGGACTTATGCTGGGAGACGCCCCTCTTATTTTTAACTCAGAGCTCAGTAATGCTGCTGAAAATGGGCAGGGTCACCAATAATGCCAATTTAACCTGATAAGCTTTTCTCATAGCAATCAGTAATCACCAATAATCCCCACAAGAACACTCACCATCACTGAAATGGTGAAACCTGTAAGAGTCTCTTACCACTATTTCCCTCCCCGTGACTTTAGAGATGAACTTGGTAGCAGTGTGGCAATCTCCACAAACCCTCAGATTCTTATGAATCCTAATCTCACTCTCAGGTTCAGAGTTCATAAGCCCAAACACAATTGCAAGCTTCTCACTGTGAACATATAATGAGCTCTCCTTCGCCTCCTCTTCCACATCATGCAACGCAAAGTTAGTATTTGGCACATACCCTGCTGCTTTAATCCTAGCCGTTAACATCTCAAGCTCTTTATAAATCACATCAGATTGAGGATTCGACTCATCCCCAACTAAGAACTTGTAGACCTTGTTTTCCACCTCTACAACACTGAAACCAGATGTTTTCTTTACTCCTTTCCTTTTCATCAATGATCGAATTCTATTGGCCTCTTCAATCTTGCCCAAAGACGTGTAAACATTCGACAAGAGAATGTAGCGTCCCGAGTTCTTGGCATCAAGCTCAAAAAGAGATCTTGCTGCTAATTCTGCAATCTCTACATCTGGATGCATTCTACAAGCTCCAAGCAATGCACCCCAAACACTCGAGTCTGGTTGTATCGGCATTCTTTCTATAAAATTACGAGCTTCTATAAGCTTTCCTCCTCTCCCCAAGAGATCGACCATACAAGCATAATGCTCTGCTCTAGGAACTATTCCAAACTCTTTCTCCATTGAATTAAAGCATTCCCACCCTTCATTGATCAAGCCCGAATGGCTACAGGCTGAAAGAACAGCAACAAATACAATGTGATCGGGTCTTATTAGACTTTTCATTTGATCAAAGAGCTCAAGAGCATCCTTTCCAAATCCATGCATTCCATAACCTGAGATCATTGTGCTCCATGAAATCAAGTTCCTGTCCTTCATCCTATCAAACAATCTTCGAGCAGTCCTCAGCCTCCCTCTCTTCACATAGAGATCAACAAGAGCCGTACCCACCATAATGTTCTTCTCAAGAAAGCTCCTAACCACAACCCCATGAATGAACTGAGCCTGCCTAAGTGCCCCCAGAGTCGAATTTGCACAAGCCCTGATCAAACCAAGTAAAGCCACATAGTCGATAACGATCCCGCTAACCCTCATCTCCTTAAAAACCTCCAACGCTTCAAAATACAAATCGGCCCTCCCATACCCCTCAATCATCGAACTCCATGACACCAAATCCTTCTCCACCATCCCATCAAAGACCCTCCTCGCAAACCCCACCCTCCCACACCTAGAATACATCCCTATCATCGCATTCTTAACACAAACATCGTCATCGAGCCTCTCCCTTCTCACCATTTCCCTCAATTCATCGGCCTCCCTAGCCTCCGAGACACAACCCATCACATTCAAGAAAGTGGGTCTGTTGGGTCTAATCCCAACGTCCACCATTCTCCGAAAAAGGGACAGCGACATCCCAGGTTTTCCATTATGGGCGTGGGCACCGATGATAGCTGTCCAAGAGACAACATTTCTCATCCTCTGAGGCATTTGATCGAACAGGAGTTGGGCAGCGTCCAAATGGCCACATTTTGAGTAGAAGGAGATGAGTGAGTTAGTGATGAACAGGTCGGAATCGAGGTTGAGATGTGAAGCGTGACGGTGGAGAGAGAGGCCGAGGGGGAAATTGCAGAGTTGGGAGCAGGATTTGAGGAGGGGAGGGAAGGTGAAGCGGTCGGGGACGGCGATGGAGGAGGAGAGCATGAGAGAGTAGAGGGAGAGGGAGAGAGAATGGAGGTTTGAAGAGGAGAGGAGGAGGATGATGGAGTTGAAGACGGACGTGGAGGCATTGCGGCGCAAGAGGGAGGCTTGGAGAGGTTTGAATGAGGAAAGGGAGGGAGAGGACTGAATGAGGTGGTGGCTGAGCTCAATCAAATCTACACCCATAATGATTAATGAGTGTGATATAGCCCCCTAGTTGGGAAAATTGGGTTTGGTATACAACTAGTATATTAGTAGGCCTAATTAAGGAGAAAGTATATGAAGAAGTTGGCTTCTAAAGATGAAATAATTTACTCAAATAATATTTGATATGAACGATAAGGTGGTAGTATCATGCGGCAACTCCTAAACTCCATTAAGAATCTGATAACATAATATTTGACAAGAGGCCTAAAAGATGATACTTGAGAGACTTGAGCAATTAGAGTGTCACCGTTCTGTACGTGTTTTCCTATGAAAGTCGAGAAAACACTATCTTTTCTATGAAAATCAAGAAAACACTCATCTGTCAGTTGTAATTTGCTACGAATATGAAAACTAGCGTAATGTGGACGCCTACAACTATCATAAACTCTAGTAGGATCTCTATGAATATGATTCTATGAACACCAATACTGTAGCGAAACTAAAACAAGAAATCAACTGAATAAATGTTATTACACTCAGAAAAGTCGGGTGTAAAACAGAGCCATTGTGGTTGATATCCACAGCAAGAAACTGTCGCGGCCATATATCAGTACTCACTACAATAGTCCAGTCCAGTAAGCAGGGTTTTCTTAAAGCGACACACTTAAAAATTAGTCTCTTCCTGTTTGATTGTCACTTGTTTTTGTGCTTTTCAGGGTAGGGGGATGTCAGGATTTCTAATCTATTAACTCAGATTTTTTTTTTATGTCAACAACGAAAATTCAGGATCTATTGTCAGAAACCTGATGTGCATGTCTTAGTATTGGATAAAAGATTCGCGGATGCAGCTAAGCTCATATATATAACTATTTTAGCTTGTACTGTAAACTTCAGGAATAAAAAACACAATGACAATAGAGAACAACCCTTTTGAAATAATGATTAAAATATTTAGCTTTATTGAACCCCAAAATAAATAATACACTGAGTTCGCAAGTCAATCTCTGATTTCAGCATATTGCCTAAAGTCATGATACTGCAATATTGAACTAAGATCGAGAATTGCAGTACTCTCTAGTTACCCAGCTATTTGGACCTGAAGTTACAATTATCAGAACCTCAACGTCGACCACCATGGTACAGGTACAGCAATCTAAACTCTAATTTAACAAACAAGAACACGTCACAGTGCCACACTCAATCTTTTGCATAAACGCAGAGCTGAATCAAAACATCTTTTTGTCATCTTGCTGACATTTGGTTATAATTAACATGTTATTTTATCACATTCTCTAATCATGATATATAGTTCTGGAACAAGCTTATTCTCAATTACGCCAAGATACTACAGAACAAAATTCTTTCTTCACTTACAAGAGACAGAATAAATAAATGGAATAATTTTATTAAAATTTAAAATAGTTACATAGAAGAACATCAAAGAAATAAATCATCAACTTCTAGACACTCTTCCATGTATGGAAAAGCCTCAGTTACAAGGATCGTCAATTCATGATCGCTGAGCATTGGAGGATAAGGCAGTTCACCTCTACAAGCCACGCTGTCGCGTTGAATATCCAAACATTCAGTCAAATTGACAGGTCGTGGAATATCAATCATCAAGCCTTGTAGTCGTTCCTCTGCTTGTACAGAAGCAATGTTAGAAGTCATATCTGAAGTCAATAAGCCCAAGCCTTGAGGTTCTTCATTAGACTCTAACAAAGGAGATGATGAGTTACCATCATCAGTGGAATCAACAGTTTGTGGAATATTAGTAATCAAGCCTTCTTGTTGTTCAGGTCCAGTTTGCGGAATATCTGCTTCTTTCTGAGACCCTAGCAATGCAGATGATTCACCGTCATCAGTAGGTGATAGCAGAGGTCGGAAGTCAGAGACATCAAAATACATATGGCTTTCCATAAACTCTGTCAGAGGGTAGTCGTCCGTTGGTGGAGCCATACACAATTCATTGATCAAATGTAGGTCGGCTTGAAGACCACCAATGGATGATGACGGACTCATGGTTGACTCAACATTGTTCACCTCGTCACAGTTCTCTCTTTCATTATTAACAGTAATTAAGCATTGATGTAGTTCTGGTTCCTCTGATAGCCATTGCTCCAAAGTTCTTTCTGCTTCTGACATCTCATTATCACCAAAATTAACAGCACAAGAAGGCCCATCCGTTGTCAACGAAGAGAAATCTTCCATATCTCCATAAGATACTAAAGCATGCTTGTCCTCCAACAATGATAAAGACGGTGATTCCGTATTTGCAAGCCCAGAGGTCCCTTTTTCATTATAATCAGCTACCATAGAACCATTTTCCTTGACCCGCCTTCTCTTCACCATCCTTCGTCCCTCTTCTTCCTCCTCTACATTTAATTTTCCATAAAAAACAGCAACATCAATCCAACTCATATCTGACTGCACGTTTGATTCTTGACAGGACAGCAATGGAGGAAACTTAGATACTGACGATGTATTTTGTTCAGATGACTTGGTGTACACTAATCCATAGGTTCCCATCTCACGGTGATCAGCACTTTTCCTCTTCATCACTCTGTGACCTTTAGCTACTGCCTCTTGCTCACCTGCAGGAACAGGAATATTATCTACTTCTTCGTTCGTTTGAGAACTCTTCTTCCCTTTCTTCATGTAGATTCTGCACAATACCATGTCATCGAACACTGTATCATCTGAAGAAGAGTGCAAGTGAAATTCGTGCATAATCCAATCACCATTAGTCTTCTTCTTCTCCTTCCCACGAGTCTTAAAAGTCAGTTGTGTTTTGTAGCCAATAACTTCAGTTCCAATCATAATCGTTGTGTCACCTGCACTCCCATACCAAAGTTGTGTTTTGTAGCCAATAACTTCAGTTCCAATCATAATCGTTGTGTCACCTGCACTCCCATACCAAACTCCACAGCCAGCAGTTCGGTTTACCCTTTTGGCACTTGTGCTTGTTGGATGCCTAGGGGAGAAGAAATACATCTCTTTCTCATCACTCTGGACCCTTTTGGCACTTGTGCTTGTTGGATGCCTAGGGGAGAAGAAATACATCTCTTTCTCATCACTCTGGCTCAGAAATGAATCACCTGAACATAGATCATACGTCAGATACAATCATCAGAAAGTTAAACAGCTGCATATCATTAGATGTAATTATCAAAGCAATATTTAACAAGCAAAGAAAGAGGGAGATTTTTCGAAACAGAAAAAACTAACACAATCGTCAGCTAAGAGACCCTGTTCAACTGACAATGATTAGTTTGATGTTAAATAAATGATAAAAGAAAAACTTTAAAAACAATAGTAGCAGCAAATTAAGTAACTACTTTGTAGCAGTGAAAGAACATCTGTATACAATAACTTGGTACGCTAGAAGCAAGAATAAAAAATCATGAGATATGAGAGGAATGCGGCATCAAGTTAAAAACTTCAGCATTAGAAATCTTCTCTTTTTCTCATATACATAGTTACAGAAAAGAATGCATTGACATTCAGCAAACAAATATTCTCATCTTCTCATTTTGCCTTGATTCTTTCCAATAAACAGAAAAACCACCAACCCTGAAACCATTTTCGCAAATTTTGTCATTTCTTTTACCGATTATGTGAACACATTTGCTAAGAAATATTAAATATAATGGCCTATATTCTACGGAACAAGCCATATTCAGCAACAAAACAACCCATCTTAAAACAATAAAATATCAATTAATTAAGAAATTAGATAACCCGATATAAATTTATCACTATGATTCTATTCTTGGTACAAGAGTCTTCATGGGCTTCGAATTAAACAATAATAAAAGAAGAAAATAAGCAAAAGAAACAAATTCGGCAAGAAATTACAAAATAAAAAGAATCAATTTTAAAGGAATTAGACGCCCTGACTAACTACATGTTGAAAGTAAAGAAATCAGCTTTAAGGAAGAAACTAGGTAAAGAATCGGAAATTGAGTGGGCTTACTAGGTAAATTCCAGGGTTCGGTGGAGTAGACATCAAAATCTTTGATCAGGGAACTGGGAGCAGCAGCAACTGAAGACGAAGAAGCAGCAATTTTCCTCTTCAAGAAAAACCCGATCAGCTCTCGATCGGTCGGATGAAATCGAAACCCCGGCGGCAGTTGTTGAAGCAGCATCGCCAGCAAATCGTCGTCAACAACGGGCGGATGAAATCGAAACCCCGGCGGCAGTTGTTGAAGCAGCATCGCCAGCAAATCGTCGTCAACAACGGGCTGCATTGCCATTGCCATTCTCGACGGCGACTACGATGATGATGATGGCGGGAGAAAATTAGGGCAGAAAATATGGGAGCTTTCTTGATTGGCGGCAGTAAATTAAAAATTGGAAACCCTAGTAAGTAAATTTGTTGCCTTAATTTGAGAGAGAATACATATGTAGATCATCATCGATTTTAGGGCTGGGGTTGTTTCCTAATTGGGCTTTGGCGGTGGAACGCGGGATCCGACCGTTGTCATCGATTTTAGGGCTGGGGTTGTTTCCTAATTGGGCTTTGGCGGTGGAACGCGGGATCCGACCGTTGGCGAAGATTTCACGCGGGGCCTTGATACATTTGTAATCTTTGAATCGGGGCCGTTCATTTTGCAATGATTTCAATCAGGTTAGTTAACCTGTAATGATTTAAATTGGAGGTGTTTTTGTTTGGTAATATTTTAAAAAGGAAGTATCCTACTTAAGAGCACAACCCTTTCCAAATTAGATTATTCAGAAAAGAGCCCTATAGCATTAGCCCCATGCTTAAAAGGTTACTTTCCTATTATGAATACTTAACCAGTATTGGTATTCTTTTTTCTCTTCGGATCAGTATCTTACTTAATTTGGATTATAAGGATCTAAAACTTCAGAAAACTTAAACACAAGGGTTATTTAGTTCTTAGTCCCTAAAAGCTCCAATAATTCCATATTTCCCCCTCAAATCTCAATGATTTCTCATTACTCCCTCAAATCCCAAGGTTGCTTGCAATTTGGTCACTCATTAACCAAAATACCCCTTAGCTATGATTTATCTATAAAACACATCTTGTTCAAAAAAATATTATTTAAACTTCGGTACTATACAGTTTATGTCTTTTTAACTTTAATATTTCAGAGGTTTTTGACACTTTGATACCCTAAAGCTTACACCTTTTTAACTTTGATACCTTTAAGTTTTTTTGATACTCTTTCTATGCCAAAATTTATATGTTTTAACTTTGATATTCCTAAGGTTTTGTTTTGATGCTTTGATACCCCTTACTTTAGGGTATCAAAGTTAAAAAATGTGTAAACTTTAAGGTATTAAAGTTAAAAATGTGGACACTTTGGGATATGAAAGTTAAAAATATATAAACTCTGGAGTATCAAAGTGTCAAAAAACGTTAGAGTATCAAAGTAAAAAAGGTATAAACTCTAGGGTATCAAAGTGTTTAAAACGTTTCGTGGTGTCAAAATTTAAGGTGTAGAATTTAGAGTGCCAAATTAAAAATAACCCTTAAACAACATCATGTGAGGGTATTTAGGTTATTGAGGGAATAAATTGCAATAATCTTACAATTAGAGGGACTAATATGGAATTATTAGAGATTTGAGGGGCTACTATCTAAATAACCCTAAAAATGAAAGGGTTAAGTGCTGATAGATCCCCTATAGTATCTCCAAATTGCAGATGAAACCCCTATAGCTCTAATTGTGCGGATAAACACTCTGAGTGAATCTTTTGACTCTTAATAAGTCCAAAAAAGGTTCTACAGAGGATGATAGACCTCCCGCTATTTCTTGGTGAGGATAGACTCCCAGTCATTTTTATGATGATATTAGTGTTTGAAAAGTCTACTTTGTCTTGGCTTGGTTTGAGGAGGCATTCATTTATCTATGGCAGGACGACTTGCTATTGTATCATAACAAAAGAAGAAACTATTGTAGTTTGATACATAACTAATGGTTCTGTATGTTTGTATTAGGTTGCTGAAGAAAGGGAAACAAATTGCATCTCAATCGAGATCGTATCTTGCTTGGAATCGTGAGATGGACTCGATAGCTCATATTTTTACGATTGAATGAATCAAGGATAAAAGTTTTATTTGCTAAAGTCACAAGAGCACGGTCGAGGATGAGGCGACCGTGAGCGAGATCTCCTATCTTCCTTGGCAAGGCAACTTCTCTCCGATCTCTTTAATTAAGAGACAAGATTTTTCAGGTACCCTCTCTGGATCAGGTCCTTAATGTTCCTCTATAAGATGCGGCAATCATTGGTGAGGTGGCCGTGATCTCTATGGTACCGACAATACTTTCGAATGTTTCATGGATCCGACGTCATCTTGGGAGCTGGCTCATTGAGGTGCACCTCCTTTTGGACAATGGCGAGAGCTTCTACGATGGAGGTGTTGAGGATAGTGAGAGCGGGCCTCGCCGCTTGGTCCTTCCATCGGTCCCTCCTATCGGACCGATTTGAACAAGAGTTGACTCTTGGGGGTCTCTCAGCCACTCGCGCCTCGCTAGGAGGGCTCTTGTCGGCCTAGTATCTGCGTCACCACCGGTACTGCTGTAGGTGTCGGTGGTGCAGGTGGCGCTAGTGCTGCTGTTGGTGTGGTTGCTGTTGTTACTGAAGTCGTAGCCGTGGAGGTCTTTGTGGCCCTGGTTGTCGTCTTATAAGCTCGGGCATCCTCCATGTCCCTATACCCATGAGCTTTGGCCATTAGCTGTTCATAATTGGCTACTAACTTCTTGGCAATCGAGTCAGCTAATTCGTTGTTATGTAAGCTAGCCACAAGAGCCGATATAGAAACGGCATTGCCCGGGTCATTAACCTCCAGCCTCTTCACCTGGTACCTCTTGAAGTAGGCTCGAAGGCTCTCTCTAGGCTCTTGCCTCATCTGGATTAACACATGAGGGGGCAGCTTCTATTTGGTATCAACCAAGAAGTATTGGATGAACTTCCTGCTAAGTTGCTGTAAGCTGCTAATGGACTTCTTCTCGAGGGCGTTCCACCAAAGCTTGGCACTCCCTGCTAGAGTGATGGGGAAGCATCGGCAGATAACTGCTTTCGATACTTGGAGCATGCTCATTACATCATAATAATTCTGGACATGCTCGGAGAGGTCTCCTTCGCCCTTATACTTCTCCACGTGAGGCATCTTGTGTTAGCCTTTATGTTTTGATAATGATTTACAACTACCATTATTGGTACTAATTTGTTGAGTGATAATGTAGATTATAAGAATATCAAGTTTATTAGTACTATTATTGGAGGATTGTATTGATTATCAAGCTACAACGATGATATCAAGGAGGTGGAGGTAAATTGGTGAAGCAAAGCTATCAAGAGCACGATATCAAGTTAGAAGCTTCATCAAGAATCAAGCAAATATCAAGACTTAAGCTATGTACTTATATATAAGGGATATATGTATTTTTATTCTTCTCTAGTGCTTAATTTTGGCAAGTAGTTTGGTAGATTGTATTTGAAGCTCTTGGGATAACGCACACATACTTTCAAAATTCATATTTTGATATTTTTGCTAAACAATGTGTTTTCACAAGTATGAGGACCTTTTTGTAAAATCTTTTTTCAAACAAGTTTATTTTCTTGTTTAAAAACATTTCCCAGAGTTTTACAATTTTTGAAAGTTTTTTGATAATTTTTTTACAATTTCTAAAAGTCAAAAACCTGTTTAAAACTTTGTATGTGTTTGGTGTTAGTTCGCGGTCGATCAGATATGCCTGTTGGCCTTCTTATTTTGATGATGTTTAACAAACAATTTACTCCTAAAGTTGTTTGTCTAGTATTTGTATTTTCTATTTATTGTAGACAAACAATATTGTTGGAGGTTGAATGGATTGCGCCATAACGATCATATCCAATGGAGGTTGGCAAAATTGTGGAGTGAAGCCTTGCTATCAAGTTAAAGATCCAATTTCAAGTTTCATCCAAGTTTACCAAGTTGAGCTCAATGAAGACCTTCATCAAGCTTGGGTAATTTAGTTTAGGA